CGCGGTTCCTGCGGCCGATGGAGGTGTGCGCCGACCCAGGTGGGCGGCGTGGCCCCTATGTCGGAGGGGCTCCTGGCCCGTTGCCGTGGAGTCCACACAGCCCCCTGGGTGTTTATCAGGCTCTTTTTGCTTCGTTACCTCAGTCGTTGCTGTCGTGACCTCGGACGAGATGTGGTTAGATTGCAGTGGGCAGCTACTGTGGTCCCCGCCTTGTTCCTGAGCACCATGGAGGACCAACCCCTCCGGCTCCAGGGCTGACAGGCCCAGGCTGGCACCTCTGGAAAACGAGTTCTTAACTTCTCCGGGCCTTGTTGCAGAAGCAGAAGGGCAGTGCTTCAGCCCCAGAGGGCTCTGGTGGCTTGTCTTCATAGAGCACGTTTCTGATCTAGTTTGGGGGTGGTGAGCTCCTGGCTGTGAATTTGCTCATGTCCTCAAGGGTCGTTATGAAGAGAGAAGAAGACCTGCAGAGCTGGATCGCCTGCTGGGGCTGAGTGATGTTACCTGCTATCTGGAACTCACCTGTTGGTTGTGCCTCAAGATAAGCCTCTGGAAATAGCAGCACCTGAAATACATTCTCCAGGTGCCTCACAGAGGGCTGGGTCTGCTTCCAGAGCTGCTCTGCCTGGTCAGGGGGGACATTCAGGGCATCAGGACCCCGTAGGTCACAGCACAGAGCTTCGTTGGCAGAAAATGAGGTGACTTATTCTGCAGCATTGGCTGCCATTGTGTCCCTGGGATCCTGGCCCTTTCCCGGCACTCACAAGTGCTGCTGCTGGTCCTCTGGCACATCTGACTGCCTGGAGCATGTTTCTAATCCCCTGTCCCATGGGGAGCAGGGCTGCTGGCCCATTCCTCACCCTGCAGCTTGCCAGGGCAGCCCGGGGTTGCTGGGTGTTTCCCTGTGGGGGCAGAATGGCAGGTGTGATGAGTATGTCACTGCATCCCAGTCCCCAGCAGCTTGAGTCCAAGCTGCAGCTCATCCCTGTGCACGTGTAATTAGATCTTTAAGCATTGTATCTTGAATTGAGCTGTTCGTTAGCATCCGTCATGCACCACTTTTTGTGAATTACATTATCCTTACGCTATGCATTCACTCCACTGCTAATTGCTACCAGCGAGATTTGTTTAACTAAACGTATTTTTTAAGGATATGTGTATTGTATCCTGAAATGTTCTGTTTAGAGACTTGTTGGTCTGCTTGCTCTTCTCCAGGCAGGTCTTGGGCAGGTTCTGTTGGTTCTCTGGGTGCAGGGATCCAACTGCTTTATCCAACATGGTTTTGCGTAAATTATTACCATGTTTGCACCAATAAGATAATTAGAGGGTGTATTCTGGGGATCTGTAGCGTGGCTTTGCCTGAGGAAGATTGTCCCTGTTTGCTCCAACACAGTCCTATTGTTGTGCTTGTTATTCTGCCAGTAGAAAAGTCTTTGTAGGATAGATAGTGTCATCTGTTCTGCTGTGGAATTTGCTGTGAAGTTGTGGGTACAGCCGGTGCTTGGGAGGTGGCAAAGGTTCCAGAAGTGTATTTTCACGGCCTTTCTCCAGGTGAGGGACCCTGTTTGAGCAGGGTCAGCCTGGTGAGGCAGGCTGGCTGGTGTAACGCACAGCCCGCCAGAGAAAATGCTGTGTTATTTTTCACTTTAAAAACCACCATGGCGATTATATCAGCACCCACCAAGTCCTCAGAGTTTCTCTCTGTCCCGGGGTTTCACATTCCCCTCTGCCCTGGTGCTAATCAGTTTCGTTCTTGCTTATCTCTTCTGCCCCCATTCCTGTCTAGGTCCCAACCCTGCTCCTGTCTTCCTAGCCCTCTTCTCCACCCCTCACCTCACTGCACCATCCAGAGGTTTTTCTCCTCTTCCTGGGTGCTCGAATGCTGGCAGAGGGAGTGCAGACAGCATGGAGGAGCGCTCTGCCTTCACCCTGCCCACAGCACCCAGCCCTGCATCCTGAGATCCATCCTGCCCCGGGGAGCAGCTTGGGGCTGGGCAGGGCAGTCCTGCTGGCAAAGCTCCCTCATAAAACAAGGTGTTGGTATTTTTAAGGTGGACAAGCAGCACGTTCTCAACCTTCCCCTTTTATTCTTAGAAACAGCCATGCTATTTTGTTGAAACATCTCCCACAAATTCAGTCTGGAGCAGGTATCTGTCAAAGAAAACAGTCCAAACGCATGGTTTGATGAGCTTGCAGACAGCTGTAAGGAAGGTGCTTAAGGGATAGTGTCAACTCACGTTAGCTACGATTGACAGTACTTGCAGAGCCGGTAATTAAAAGCAGATTCTCTGTGGGCTCCCTGACATCCACATGTGCGTCCAGCCTGGCTGCTGGAGTAGCAGTGTGGACAGGAGTGGTGGGAACGTGGCTGCAGTGAGTGCCGAGGGAGGTGTGTCAGGGCTGTGCACGGGTGGTGAAACCTAGCTTCCTAGCTACGAATTGTTCAGCCTCTTGGCTAATCTCACTCGTCAGAGAGAGAGAGAGAGAGAGAGATAGATTTCAAAAATAATTACATTTCTATGAATTTCATAACGTTTGTTCTTGGGGGAACATAAGAGTCAGCTTTGAAAATTTGCCTTTAGTAACCCAGAATGCACAAGCTGATTTTTACAGTCATTGTGGCAAATTGCCTGTCACTATCCAGGTACTTGGCTGGAATGAAGAAGGACAATTTTAGAAATGTCTGCAGAGATGATCAACGATGAAGTCAGTAACTGAGTTGGCAATCCAGCCAGCAAGTGCATGCTCTGTAGGCAACCAGACTCCCCACACTTGCAGAATTCCTCGGTTTGCACTTGAGGCTTTGCTGTTGTTTATTAACACTGATGATATACCTATTTTTTCTCATGTCAGGGTTGTTCTGTCCTTCTCCACAGGTCTCGTCAAAGATCCTGGCTCAGATGGTTGGGTGAAGGTTTTAAGTTCCTTGGACTGTAAATATTCTTGTGAGCCTCAGGCAATTCCCTGCAGCGTAACCTGGAGGAGAAACATGCTAAACCCTCTGTCCACTCCAGTGAGTCCTTCTCATCTTCTCTGTACTTGTAAGCTGGCAACTGATGTGCAGTGGGGAGAAAGCTTTGACTTGCAGTGGAGGCTGAGGTCGGCTGTTCTCGTGCTCACCCCCACTACAGGAATTTCAGGTGGAGGCAGAACTCTATTTTTGCTGTGGCTGGATAAAACATTGCAGATACTGTGGTCCTATAATAGACTATGGATAACGTAGATGCCAATAACATGATCATCTAACAGTGTGTGCAGTGCAGACAAAGGCATTTTGTGTTCTGTCATCTTAGTTTGCAACTTCTGCAGTTGTCACTGCCTTCCTCACCAGGCTATTTTTGCACCTTCAGTGATTTGCTTGTTTGGGGAGAATTTTTACCTTTTGGTTCAGCCATGGTCTTTCACCGGCGTAATATTGACATAGCCTTGTGAGTGTTAGCACCTCTTACCATGTGGGCTCTGCACAGGTGGAGACTTGCTGTCTGCTTTCATGCTGGACCCCTGCTTGTGTTGGGTGACCCCTGCTTCTTTAGGGTGAGGTGAAGACCAAAGAGGAGAAAGAGGTGTTCGTGTTGGTAGAGCCAGAAGATTTTCTTAAGCGCCTTTTTTCCCTAACTCAGGTGATACAGAGCTCGGTGCCAGACCCACACAAAGTGCCGTACAGCAGAGTCACTTTGCCAAATGAACACGGCAGGGGAGGGAGGATTCATTCAAAACTGCAGTTGCTCCACCCTGAAACAAAGCTGTGGTGCAGAGGGCTGTGGTTTGAAAGGAGAGAACTTGTGGGAGAAGCCATATCTGAGTACAGCAGGAGGTCTTTAGGGACATACGCAGGCACCTGCCTTTAACCACTGGACAGGGTGCTGCTTTCCGCCAAGGGTAACTGGGCAGGCCAGACTTGCCTTGCCTTGCATTTAGCTTTGCCATTCTCATAGAGTCCATAAAAGATTTGCCTGAAAGAAATGTTCAGAGTACGCAGCCCTTGGAAACACTTGTGTTTTGAAGTAGAGAGATTGGCATTAGCTCTCATGTGTGTGCAGTCCTACAACATTTTATTTCTACCTGTGCTTCTGCCCTGAGAAGTTCCCAGTCCTTCCAGCCCCGTACAAGACTAGAGAATGACAGGCTAGAATAGGCAGTGTCTGTGAGGAGATCAGTGCTAACGCCCCAGGGAAGAAGGTGAGAAGAAGCAGTGGGATGCTGGCAGATGTGGCATGTGGTGTGTGCCCCAAGGCAATGCTCTCGGCTGCAGTCTGAGGCTGGCTCCTGCCCGTTCCCATGGATGAGATGCACCTTGGAAGGCCCTGTGGTCCTGCTGGAGATGGGGAAGGGGTGTTCGAAAGAGGAAGGCTGCTACTGACTTGGGTGTGATTTGTCTTGCTTCAGAGTTTTGTCAATGCCCCATCAGTGAGTTAGCCTGACCTGAACCAACTGTTGTCTTTGGCTGGGCTGGAGGGCTCCTCCACCAAAACCTACAGCCTGGCCGTCGTCGGGCTGGATGCCTACAGGTGGTATGTGCTGGGGAAGCTCACGGCGTGTCTGCAGTGGCGACACGTTCTGGGCTGAGCTGCTGACACTTGGTGCCAGCGTGGTGGCTGTGAATCACAAAGTCCATGCTCGCGGGGGCCAGGACTTGAGTTTTGCAGCCTTGAGGGTGAATTTTGTGTGTGCGTTTATAGCAACCTCTGAGGATCCTGTAGCCAGAAGGGGATCGCAGATAAGGCTTCTCTGTGCACCCCAGGCAGAGGGCCATAGTGCTATGGAGGAGCTGAGGGAACTGCTCGCGCTGAACTGACCCTGAGAGATGTTTGATGCCTGGAGCCCTCTTCTTGTCCCCTGAACGTCTCATTTGTGTGCTGCTCCTGGTGCCTGAGTCCTTCCTGTCCATGTACGTGCACAGCAGAGGAATATTCTCTGTGGTGACGGTGTGAGCGCTTCCAGAGTTCCGCACATAGACATGGCTACAGTAGCTCCATCTGTACTGTCCTGTCTGGAGCAGTTCCCAGGGAGAGCTCTTGTCTCACCACCTCCTGGGCTCTTTCTCACTTAAGCCTGGAAGGATAAATTTTACCAAGAGTGTTAGGTGTAAAATAAAAATCAGCTGTGGCCTGTTGAGTTCTGCCACAAGAGGAACCAAATGGCTCTCCCCCTGGTTTCGAGTCTCCTCTCACTCTCAGGGGAGCTGCTGCCACCCTGGGGGCAGGTGGCCTGGAGCAAACTGGACATCTTTGTCTCCAGCCTCAAGTCAGATCGGGAGGTGGCGGATGTGGGTGGGTTAAGCCTGCCCTTTTCCTTTTTATCAGACAGTGGCCCAGAGGTGTGGGATACGTAAAGCTTGCATGTGAGCGGTGTGTCTTGCTTACAAGTGTAAGCGGGAGCAGGGCAGGCAGCAGGCACTGAGCCCTGGAAAGCAGGGTCCCAGCTCCCGCCCTGGCCCAAAGCTGTCTATGACTCAGGAGGAGGTACTGGAGGTAAAACTTCTTACAGTCCTTGAAGTTTTATGTTACTTGGGGCTGAACTGTATGGAAAAGGCTCCCACTGGTGAGCTCTTGTGTGTAAGGAATGCTGTGCCAGGGGGGCTGGTGGCTGGCTTGGATCAGGTTGCACCCATTTGCAACCTCCTTCACCCTGTCCGGCAGTGGGATTGAAGAGGGGCTGCAGGCTTCGAGGCATGGTTTGGAGCCTCTTGTTTTTAAGACCCTGGTTCAGAGCTGATCCAGCCTGCCCTCCCCAACCCCACCACCAACTGCTCATTTAGCTGTGAAAGGAGCTGTTGGTTCTCACTCAGGTCTCTGGCTTGTGTCCCGCAGCAGAGCAGCAATGCTCCTTATGATGCCGCAGCAGTCATAAACTAGGTCAAATACCATCTAAACCCTTGCTTGATATCCCTTGAACTAAATTCCTGCCCTGCCTGAGTATGCCCCAAAGGGGATTACTGGGAGCTAAGAAGGATGAGCAGGCTTTACTGCAGCGCTGTGTAAACAGAGCTAATGCAGGCAACCCAGCCTCCCTCCCCTTCCAGCCCCAGCCCAGCTTCATCCTGCTGAGAGACATCTCCTACCCGTGTGCTCTCCTTGCTGCTCTCACTAGGTGCTCTTTGGTGACTGGGGCTGACACCAGCGTTACTGGCTGAGGGTCGAGGAGGGTGAGGGCCTCAGGCTGTCCTGGCACACAGCTGGCTCTCCCGAGCGCGTCTTTGTCCTGTTGGTTGGTGTGTTCCGTGTTTGACCTCTGTCACCTCTCCTCCAGGCGCTGGTGGTGCTGCAGCTGTGGGGTAACATCAAAGTGCTGTTCCTAGACATGTGGCAGGAATTCCGGCAACACGTCTCTGCGCTGACGAAGGCAATAGCAAACTGCCTGTACAAGTGAGTCGTGTTGCTGGGCTCGGTCATGTCCCAAGCCCAGAGCTTTGGGAAACCTCAGTGGAAGTTACAGGAATATTTGTCTGTGGCTGCCAGCCTGTGCTTGATGCCATCAGTGTAAGGGCCCAGACTAGATGTGTCTCAAGATCATTTTCAGTCTCTGTGCTGATGAAAATCCTTTGTTCTTGTGGTGAATGCAGTGGTGATTCAGCATTAGGAAAGCAGGGAAAATGACAGCCTTAGGAAGATCCTTTCCCCCTGGTTTTCTGGAGTTTTCCAGGGAAGGAAAGAAAATTAAGAGGGGAAAAAAGGCTAACCCTGGACCAAAAGAGGTTTTAGAAGGAAGCCCACTGCGTAATGCTAGGGGAAGGCTGCAGCATCTGGGGTCTGCAGGCCTGTGCTCAGTGCACGCAGTGGTGCCAGGTCTTGCTCTCAGCAGTCTGGCTTTCTGCAGGAGGCAGCTGGAGTCACAGGAGTTGCCTTTCTGCATTGCCGGGGCCTGGGCCAGCAGGGCATGAGTGGAGAAGGACGGCACAGGACTCTGGCAGGTGTGGAAGAGACAAATCCAGCAATTTAACAGAGTCAGCCCTGCCACAGCAGCAGCTATAGCAGAAGCATATCCCTCCCCAACCCTCCTGTTACAGGTAAGCCCTCAAACCCCTCAGTGTCCTGTTAAAAGCTTGGAGGATGAAGGCGGGGGGTGTGCCATGTGCTTCCTTGCCTAAAGGTCTTTGTTGATAGAGCAAACAAGCCCCGAGTGTGAAATCTCCAGAAAGGCAAGGCATGTCTCCAGATGGGTGTTTGACGTAAACAACAGCTTTGTTTCAGCAGTAGCTACTTACCCCTTCTGTTAGCCCCTCCAGGCCTCTCCCTGCCTTCGTCTCACCCCACAGACCCGCTCAAAGCATCTTTGCATTTTTGCTTGGCGATACATTTGGTTGACTGCCCCAGACAGTGCAGCTGAGGGTCTGTTGGATGCATCCCACTGCCCTTCTCCAACACGGTCTGTCCATCAGCTTTGCTTGTTTTTATTTGAAATGGGTGATGTCTCAGGTGGCTGCCTTTACAGTCCGACAGCTCTACGTCACCCTCAAGCAGAAAACGTGCATCACCCCTGTGGGCTGTGAAGGATTTCCACAGGACACCCAAGCTGTCTTACTGCTTGCTGTCACCAGCGGCATACACCACACTTTCCTTGCTCTTCTGTTGTCTGATCCTTTAGGGAGCTGATTTAGCTCATTGAATTCTCCCTCTCCCTACTCCCCTTGCCTTTCTGCTTGTTTGTGGGCTACACTGGCTCAGCGAGTTGAGGGAGCAGGATTAGTCTAGGATGCTGTCTGACCCTTCTGACAGCAGCTTAGCCAATTGGTGAGGACACATTTTTATCAGCAAGTGCTTGTTTTTGTGAGCATTAATCACATGAACTCTTTCCATTAGATCAGGAACTGTGACAGAACTTTTAAATAAAAGTCTCACGTAGTCAAATACTCTCCTTTTCTTCCCCTGGAGTTTTGATCTCTGTGCCTAGCACAACCTCTTGGGAAGAAGTGGCTTTACAGCTCTCTCCTTGTATGCTGGAGGGGCAACACACACCTCTGAGTGTGTGTGAGGTCTGTTTGCAATGTTTCTTCTGAGCTTTCTCCCCTGATCCTGGTATGTTTGGATGAAGGCTCAGTCATGGATCCTCACTGTAACGATGGGATTGAGCCTTGCAGGGGAGATCAGAGTCTTCTCTTGGAGCATCTGTGCTAACTGCTTCCTTGTCTTGTGTGCTCAAAGGCCTACAAAGAATGCAGCACAGAAGATGAAAAACAACTTCTGCTGAGTGACATCCCAGTGAAATTGGATGTCGGAGGGAGAGATCGCTATGTTGGGCCAGACTTGTCCCGCCGCATCTACCTCTTCGTGATATCCACCGACCCCAACCTCATCCTGGACCTGAGTACATAGAGGGACCGTAGGCCGTGTCAGTCAGCCTCCTTGTTTGATCTGCCACAGCTCAGCAGTGGCTGAGCTGCTGCTGGCACAGCACTGCTGCCGGGAGCCCGGCCAGGGGAAGCAGCCGATGCTGTTTCAGAGCAGAAACTTGCACGTCAATAAAGGTCTTGTTAGAGATGCTCTCTTCAGCTTCTCGTCTCTCCTTTCCTCTTTTAGCTGCCCTAGCTTTCTGCCCCCCTGGCTGGAAAGCTGGCTGTCTCCTAAGAGAGCTGAGGAATCATTGGAACAGGGGCTGGATGTGAAAGTGTTAGTGGGCTATCCCTGAGCAGCACAGGATCAACTCCTCCGCTGAGACAGCTGTGTGGTGAGTCTGTCCTGTGCTGCCTTTCCTGTGAGCTGTTGAACAAGCCATGCCATGTATTTCCTGCAGCGTATCCTGACTTGTAGTGTTCCACTCCTCACTGGCTCTTTGGTGAGATGACCTGTTACTGTAGCTTGTGGCTTCCTTGGGCAGGTGGGTCCTGCTGGAGTTACTTGAGAAAACGTTTGCCAATTGTTAAAAACAGCTGGCCAGAGAGGAACCACATCCTGGGGTAACAAGGAGCTTGGGGCATGGGAGAGGAGTTTGTTGGCTGAACAGACTCCCAACACAATGAAATGCCAGATAAGCTCCAGGAAAATCCATGCAAAATGGTGGGTTAGAATGGGATTCTCTTTTTCCCAAACCCAATGCCCCGTTTTTCACTTGGAAATAGCTGCAGACAGGACAGCAGCGGTCAGGGACGCCCCCCCCCCCCCACAACACACCCGACCCCGGGCGGGCCCCCCCCCCCCCCCCCCAGTGCCTGGGGTTTTGGTATTGCTAATTGGGGCCTTCCACAATGACACAGAAACCCGTGAACTTCTTCCCATGAACCACAGCTTGCTGGCTCACAGCAACGCTAACCTGTGCTGCAGAAGTGGAAAGGCACCCTCCAAAGTTCCTCCTTGCCAGGGATTCTTCTGCCTCCATCTGCTAATTCTTGAATTAGTTCCTGGGGAGAAGCAATCCAGCAAGGCTGTTCTTCCTGGCTGCAACACCAATACAGCTGGATTGACAGAGAGCCTGTCCTCCTTCATCAGGTTCTCAGTTGAAGCCTGTCACCAGAGAAGCAAGAGCCATCTTTGCTTAAAGATTGGTGACCTGGGGAGGAAAGCCAGAGAGTGGTGGGGCTCGGCGGCGAATAAAAGCATGTGGTGCAAAAAGCTTTACCAGAGCCTTTGCAGGTCTGTGATAGGAGCAGAGTAAAAGGCAGTGGCTGGACCTTTGCGTTCCCAGAGACAGGGC